ATATATATATATGATATTATTCTATGCTGTCTACAAGACACATATCTTAAGCCCAAGGACAAAAGTAGGTTGAAAATGAAAGGATAGGAAAAAAAATATTCTATGCAAATAATATGATCAGGAACCAATGATATTGAAGGAAGAAGTCCAAGCTGCACTGAAGGAATTGGTGAAAAACAATGCTCTAGCCACTCCTCGGAAGAAAGATGGGGCAATCTACTTCCATAGTGATACTGCCTCAGAAACCCAAGGAGGGGTCGCTATGAGTTGGGTCCAACTCAACAGCAAACAACAACAACAACAGGAATTGATGGAATAACCATCAATATGTTTCCACAAACAGATCCAGTGCTGGAGGCACTTACTCATTTACGTCAAGAAATCTGGAAGACATCTATCTAGCCAACTGACTGGAAGAGATCGATATTTGTGCCCATTCCAAAGAAAGGTGATCCAACAGAATGTGAAAATTGTCAAACAATATCATTAATATCAAATGCAAGTAAAATATTGCTGAAGACAATTAAAAAACAGTTGCAGCAGTATATTGACAAGTAACTTCCAGAAATGCAAGCTACATTCAGAAGAGGACATGGAACAAGGGATAGCATTGCTGCTGTCAGATAGATCTTAGCTGAAAGCAAAGAATACCAGAAAAATGTCTACCTGTGTTTTATGACTATGCAAGGGCATTTATCTGTGTGGATCACAACAAATTATGGAAACATTGAGAAGAATGGGAATTCCAGAATGTTTAATTGTGCTAATGAGAACCTCCACGTAGGCCAAGAAGGCAGTCATTCAAACAGAACAAGGGGATACTGATTTAAAATCAGAAAAGGTGTACATTAGGTTTGTATTCTTTCACTATACTTATTCAATCTCTATGCTGAGAAAATAATCTGAGAAACTAGACTATATGAAGAAGAACATGCCATCAGGATTGGAGGAAGAACCATTAACAATCTGCAATATGCAGATAACCCAGCTTTGTTTGCAGATAATAAAGATGATTTAAAGCACATACCGAAGAAGAGCAAAGACTATATTCTTCAGTATCAATTACACCTCAACGTAAAGAAAATGAAAATCCTCACATCTGTACCAATAAGCAACACCATGATAAACAGAGAGAAGATCGAAGTTTCATTTTACTTGGATCCACAGTCAACACCCATGGAAGGAGCAGTCAAGAAATCAGACATCATATTGCACTGAGAAAATGAGTTACAAAAGACCTCTTTAAAGTGTTAAGAAGCAAAAATGTCACTTTGAAGATTAAGGTATGCCTAACCCAAGTTAGGGAGCTCTGGTAGCATAGTTCCTAAGGCATTTGACTGCTAACCAGAAGGCTGGCAGTTCAAACCCACCAGCCCCTCCTTGGAAGGAAGGTTGGGCAATCCTACTTCCATAGTGATACTGCCTTGGAAACCTAAGGAGGGGTCACTATGAGTTGGGGCTGACTCAACGGCAAATAACAACAACAACAACAACCCAAGTTATAGTATTTTCGATCACTTATCTGCAAGTGAAATCTGGACAAGGAATAAGGAAGACCAAAGAAGAGTCGATGCCTTTGAATTGTGGTATTGGTGAAGAATACTGAAAATACCATGGACTACCAGAAGAACAAACAAATCTGTCCTGGAAGAAGTGTAGCCAGAAT